AAATGTCACAAATGCATTGATTCGTTTACACAAATTAAATCTTATGTACTTTTCAACGTTCTAATAACGTATGTGTACCTACATTCAACAAAATTGAGAAAAGATATCAAGTACGATAAGAACTTACTTCTTTCTCTTCCATTATACGTGGTTATTTTTTGCAAAATATCTTGATTGATTTAGAATCCAAGATTTCAAGTTCTTTTAAAGATATGCTTTGCCGACATTCCACACTGTTCAGATAATAATATTAGAATATTTCGTCTACAGATACGTGGAAACGAATGTCCTTTACTGTTTGCGAAAAGGTATGATGTAGGTATGAAAACAATCCAACAATGCGTGCTAGAGATGATACGCAGCTCGCGCCCTCACATGGCCCCGGTGAAAAAGAAACCCACACTAATTAAAGAAACTAAGAGAAACACGTGACACACTGACATTTCACACCACGTCTATGTGCGCTCAGCCACTATGAACATTAAAGTGCATTTAGTGGATTCAATAATTGAGTGAATGCTTGCTGTTATTAGTGTTTTTTTTCTAGATCTAAAGATCTGTCATCTGATTGAATGACCTAAGAGAATATAATAGCAGCGAAATAGCGAATGCTTATTAACTGTTAGTCCGCTGAATCACCGATGAGATACTCGTCGACGTTTCAGATAAAGTTAGGTTAATTTTTTTAATATCATGACTATGCCCTGATTGTCCTGATAGTTTATAATTCGTGATAGTGCGTTTCCATCTGTTTCAATCAGAAAAAACAACTTGAAAAACTTGCGTAGCACCGCACGAAATTTTTACACAAATGCGTTTATTATAACACATAATCTAAGAATATTCTTGAAAAGATCGACTAAAGGTATTTTTACATTTTATTTTTGTTATTTTCTATAATAATTTAATAATTATTTATTTAACCACCGCGATTAGTAATTATTTAATTGTCACTAGAAAATACAAGAGTTTATACTGCCGATTAACAGCTCTCCAGCTGAGTACAGATGTGTAGTGATAGAGTTTATTCAGACAAATTTGCATAATTGCATAATCATATGAAGAAAGAAAATGATTCAATCGCGTTTCTATTATGAGAACAAATGTAAAATGTGATTGGATAATTTTCTTTGTGTATATGATTATTCAGCTATGCAAGTTTGTTGTCAAAATAGGTCCTTATAAGCCTTTACTAATATTATGTTGAGGATTGTGCAGCAATTGGAACACAACTTGTGACGCCGTATGCATAAGTGTAGTGATTTTACAATTGGAAAACATCCGTGCCGACCGTGCCTATACTCAGCATCTACATTCTACATAGATGTGGCTTTTCCTTTTATAATGGTATGAATATCCTTTTCAATTTCTTTTTAGTGGGGTGGCATTGCATTTCTAGCAATACTAATTGTAAAAATAACTAACATACAAATGCAAATGGCTATCTATGGTTTTTTTTGTCACAAAACATTTAGAGATGTATCTTTATTTTCTTTTGTTCATCCGTAAATTAATACTCTAGATTTTAGATGTGTTTCAAAAAATGTATAGACAATAATAATCTATTAAAATCTATAATATATGTAATAGGAATTATTTTCATAAAAATTTTCAGTAGTGCTAATACATTTTGGAATGCAGCTTTATGATGCCCTTTAATTAATTACATTGCTAAATTGTCTTATATTAATAAAATGACGAACGAAAGATTCACTCAGTGGCACAAGTCTTTCATTACATAAAAATAAATTAAATTTTTAGATTTAATTTATTAATAGTGTATTTCGATAATATTCCTATTGCTTAGAAATAAATTTCTTCTATTGAATTACAGAGAGCTCTTATTCACCGCTGACACTTTACATTATCCTTTACTTTTAAATTACCATTCTCTAAAAAGATAATATAAAGTTTCATTTCGAATTAAGTATTGAAACTAAATTTTGAACAAAAGGTTTAGTCAAAAACAAAATTAACGAAAAACATACTTATTTGTATTTTTATTTTTAAACAAAATCTAATTTCCGAGATGATAATTATTAAATTAACTCTAAATTTTAAAACTGATTTATAATTTTAGTGGAATAATATTTTTTATTTGTAAATTTTGAATCATGTTTTTATTAAATTGAATGTCTTTTACATACATATATCGTTCACAACATCTTTGAATTAGAAATAATGATAAATGAACTGACAGAAAAATGAATAAATAAGAAAACATAAGTTTGAAAATTTTTTATCTGTTTACATTAAGGTATAATTATGAATTCAATATTATTTCAATTTTATTGACAACCAAATTAATCATAACATCGAAAAATATATAATTACAAACATTAACATTGCATGATAAACACTGAAAAACAAAATTAACTTTAAATTCATCAAAACAATTTGCTACTATTGAAAAAAGAATTTGCTAAAGATTCTGGCACTATGTGTATAAAAATTAATCTAAAGAACAATTTGAATTTTTTCATTGAATACGATACTGATAGAAGTAAATAAAACATATATGGTTAATATAAGCTTATAAGAATTAAGAATTCTGTTATTTTTTAATTTCTTTAGTTCTGAATTAATTTATAGAGAGAAAATTGTATAACTAAACTGTATTAAATATAATTAAAAATAATTTCATTTGTTAATAATAATTTTGCTAATTAAATTAAACGTAAAATACGTTTATTATATTCTGTTGATCTACATCTAAGATAGCAATATTATATAAATCAAAAAGTAGCAAATTATTAGATTATTAGTTACTAAATGACGAAATTAACGAATTTATGATTACAACTGCTTTCAAGTATTTCGCTCTTCTCAATCAATTCCATTATCTTACATGAATCTTTTTGCGATAGATTTCGAAATTCGTTAGTATTTACAATCTCGTTTTTATGAAATTTAAGAAAGGTTGCTGAGCGCGATTCTAAAAATTTTGCATTAGACGAAAACGCAAGCTGTATAAGTTCCACGGCATTTTCAATCATAATATAGCGTAACAAATAATGTTCACATGTTAATTTTAAAACTGATACTTCATACTTATCGGCTATTGTTAACAACTTTTTAAGCTTGTCATAATTATTTTGTATCTTTTTTATTGAATCTGCAGTTATAATAAATAATAAAAGGTATTTAAAAGCTTCTATCTCATTTGTTATTAATTCATTTGTCAAATCTTTTTCGTTTTCCTTATGTGTAAGACAGATATTCTTAAAGTAGCTACTGTTGGTAGCATATAACAATTTTTTCGGTATAACATATTGTTCTTTATTTATTATAAATTTGATTGTGTCCTCATTCTTACATTCAAACTGATCAACTGTTGAGTTTTCAGATTTAACGTCTTTTGAATATACTGTTGAGGGTGGTAATAAATTCATATGTATTGCATTACTTATTATTTTTTGAAAAATTTCAAATTTGAAGTCTATTATAAACGTATCGGTGTTAGTATATACAAATTCCGATATTTCTATTAATAATGTCATATCCGTTATTTGACCCGAAATTGATTTACTATATAAGGTATTATATGATTTGACATCAGCCGAATTTATCACAGTACAACATAAACCGTTAAATGCTCTACTAGTACGTATGTAAAATTGTATACTTAGAGATTTAGGCTTACGTATAATGTTCAATTGAATCATGTTTTCACCATTTTCTGGAAATCGTGGAGAATGTAATGTATCTATGATTTTATGAAGAAGCTTAAATTGATCGATTTTCCATGAATAGTCGAATGTAGTTGATTCACTCCATGTGCTAGAGTAACTCTTGACATATGAAGGTAAAAATGATGAAACCTGCTTTCCTGAAGATTCTGTAAAGATGTTCTCAACTTGTTCTTTGCTAGAAATCTGAAAATAAGCAACTTATTTACGAATGATGAAAATAATAAAGATCAAAATGCCGTAAAAATCTCTACATCTTTTTTTAGTAAAATATATTGAATTTATTTATAATTTTATATTTTATGTATTTTTATGTATTTTAATATACATATATTATATATTATTTTATATTAGTGAAATTCTTTATGTTTTTCATATTATATATATTAAACAAAGTTATATTTTGAATTCTGACAAATAGTAGATAAGTCTACATTAGACTTTTTGTAGTAATAATTTTTAATTGCATCCAAATTACATATGCAAGGAAAAACTAGATTTGATACATCTGGATGTACGTAAGAATTTTCTTCCTTATATATGCTTGAAAATATATTAAATTGTCATTTTGGGGACAAAATTTTATGTGCTTTTTAACGTTCTAATAACGTACCTTCAACAAAATTGAAAAGAGGTGTTAAGAACTTACTTCTTTCCCTTCCATTTTATAATATGTGTTCCTTTTCTGCTAAAATATCTTGATTGATAGAATCTGATTTCAAGTTCTGTTAAAGATATGCTTCGTTGATATTCCACACTCTGTCCAGATAATGATAATAGAATAATGCGTGTACAGATAGTAGATACGTATGGAAACTATTCTTCTTCTTTTCTTAATGGCATTTGCTCTCCAGCGAGAGTCAATCAGACCATTAATGCCATGGAAACTAATGTCTTTTGTTTACTGTTATTTGCAAGAGGGCCAGTAATGCCATGGAAACTATAATATCCTTTGTTTATTGTTATTTGCGAGATAATATGAATTATTTTCTTGTAAAGATTTTCAGCATTGCTAATATATTTCGGAATGCGTCTTATAGTGCCCACTGTTATTTGATAAATAAATTTTTTTTTTACTCTAGAAAGTGTCTTTAACCTGCTGATTTATTAATTGTTTAATAATAAATGTTCCGTTAAATTATAGCTTTATAATTAATTGCTTCTCATATTTTACATCAATTTGTTTGTGCCCCCGACTTTACGTACAAATTGTCATTTTATTTTTAATATAGGAAGAAAGAAAAATATGAATAAATGTACGTGTACAATTAAAGGCTGAATTAAAAGTTTTTTACAGCAAAATTGATTTCAAAAATTCATTTAAATTTCTATATTTCTCAATTATTAACAGTCTAACTATTTAACTTGATTTGACTAATTCCGAGGTTTAATTACGGCAGTGACAAGTATACACCATTGTAATAAATAACCGCAAATTAAAATATTATCGAATTCTGTTCAAATCTTGCTCCAATCTGCTGACAGAGTGACGATTCGTCTGTCAGGAAGTTGACAATTATTACCAGGAATTTTCTGATCCATGCATCCAATTCCGATGCAATACAAATGTACAATTGCGCGCATTTAAATACATGATTCGACGCGTCTGACGCGTCGTGATGATAATTTTTTTTATGCTCGCAATAAAAACGGTTGCAATCAATTGTAATCAAGTGTTATGATAAAAACGCGTCGTTTAACAACGAACGTGCTCCGTGAATTCGTAAAATCGATTTACCTTAACTCCTTCATTGTCATCGCGACTCTCGAGGAAATTATATAACATCGGTTAGTGATTCGTGGAGGTTTGCTAAATTGTTATTATTTTGCATAAAATTTGCTTTCGATTTGATTTTTTTCTTAGTATTGAACATATATAGGTGTACTTATTGTTGCATTTTACAAATGCAGACCGGATTCAATTAAATGCCGATTAACTTCCTCTCGGCGATTAAATTGATTTATCAAATTTTATAGTATCAGTATTACGCGTGTCTATTAACACAAATAATTAATTTTTTGTTATTTAATACGTGGAAAAAAAGTTAGTCTAGGAACGACGGATTATACATATATGTATATAGTTGGAAATTTTGCAGTAAACAATTCTGTCGTTTGAATTAATTAATCAGAGTTTGATCGCGAAGCAACCCTAAATGTCGTTCATCCTTCTTGTTTGCGAATTTTCTGCAGATGCTCTACAGTCTACTTTTCATTTTCAATTACTCCAGCATTTTATTCGGCGGAAAGTGGTCGTCAGAAACACAGATTAGCCAAGCAAAGTCAGAAAGTGTAACGTAGCGCCGCTACGCACCGCGCATGTTCCCTCCTTTCTTCGCGTTCTGCTGCTACTGCTATAACCTACAAGTCGCCGTCCACTTTCTTCGCCCAGCGAAATCGTGAGTCGCGGTGAGGTTAAGTCGCCAGGAGTACGCAGCGGAGTGTAGCCCTCGACGCGTTGCGGGTCAGCGATCATTGCGACAACGATTGCGGGTAAGCTGCTGCCGTCGCACAGACCACACAGATTTCCGTCATTTCTTTTCCAGCATGACAAACGAGAATATTACGAACAGTCACTAACAAACACTTCATCTCTTCTCCTTTTAGCCTTTAAACCTTAAGTTTACTTGTCAGTCAAAGCTGTTCCGCTGTTGCACGAAATCGCAATGCGATTTCTCAGTTGTTACTTGTTACTAACAATTCTATAAATGTCGCGCCTCCTGAATACATATTTGTTTCCTCTCTGACTGGCTGCAATTATGTTAAATGTTTCATCTCACAGCAAAGTGTCGGAGTATCGCAACTAGAGTGTCCTAGCGAACGATGAACATGGCAGCAAGCGCTGGTCTCACACGGCAGGAAGTGCTGATGCTGGTAGCGAGATTGACATGCGTCGCGGCGATCGGCTTCTTCAGCATGAGATGGCTCATCAGTCAACTTGACCCTACCAGGAGCACAAAGCAGAGAGCCAAGAAGAAGGTTTGAAAGCCATCTTGTGTGTCTTTCGAAGAAAATTTTAGAATTTTTGCGAATTGTCTTCAATTTGCAAGCGAAGAGCTTCGCTTTAATCACCACTTAACATTAAGCACTTTTAACTGGTCGTTTGTGTCTCATGTAGCAAATTGTTTCAGGCTCGGGAGCAGTTACGCAAATTGGCAGAGAGCGACAGATACGCGCGATCCTTCGACATGGACCAGCTGACAGACTACGAGATGATAATAGCTAATCATCTGGTGGATCCAAATGACATCAAAGTATCGTGGAGCAGTATTGCCGGTCTGGACAGCGTTATTCAAGAGCTCAAAGAGACGGTCATCCTGCCTATACAGAGAAAGGAATTGTTTGAAGATTCGCAGCTGACTCAAGCGCCCAAGGTATTAGATATGTTCCTTTGGAGAAAAATCCAGTATCTTAGATATCGTGCTTGTCACTTTCAGGGAGTATTGCTGTACGGTCCGCCAGGTTGCGGCAAGACCATGATCGCCAAGGCCACCGCTCGCGAGGCGAAGACCCGCTTCATAAATCTAGACGTGAGCATCTTGACTGACAAGTGGTATGGAGAAAGTCAGAAGCTGGCCGCCGCCGTTTTCTCATTGGCAGTCAAACTGCAGCCCTGCATTATTTTCATTGACGAGATAGGTACGTCACTGAAAGTAGTAATTGTTTTTTTATTTAAATTTATTTTAGATTTTTTTTTACTCTCAGAAATCTTTTCCTTTCTTTTGTAAAAGATCTTTTATCTGTAAGTTAATACGATATAATTTATTATAGATACCGTTAATGCTTATAGTTTAATACAATAAATCTATTTGCAATTAATAAAATGTCTTAATATATTTTTAACTTTAACAGATTCGTTCTTGAGATCGCGCAATTCACAAGATCACGAGGCCACGGCAATGATGAAGGCCCAGTTTATGTCACTGTGGGATGGTTTGATAACCGATGCCGACTGTACCGTGATTATAATGGGAGCCACTAATAGGCCGCAAGACTTAGATAAGGCGATTTTGCGTCGTATGCCAGCGACTTTCCATATCGGATTGCCGGTAGGTACATTTATGCGATTTCAAATCTTTAATTATTAATACATAATTGTGGAATGTAAAGCCAATACACGCATTTGTTCCAGAATGAGCAGCAGCGAACAAAAGTTCTGCAATTGATACTGAAAAACGAGCCAACCGCAGACAACGTAGAAATCGCAACGTTAGCGAAGCACGCAGAAGGCTTCTCCGGATCTGATTTACAAGAGCTTTGTCGGAACGCGTCTATATATCGTATTAGAGATTACTTATACACACAGTACGTATTTAAACGCTTAATTGAAAGGAAATCGAACATCGCGTTACATGTATAGAACTGTGCAAAAATCGGAAGTCACCAGCTTCTATAATATCGTTTAATTCACAGCGACGGACTCAAATATGAGAACAACACAGACGACGAGTACGACGAAGAATTTCACGATACCGTGCGGCCCATCACGATGGAGGACCTACTCAAATCATTCAGGAAGATGCGAACATCGAAACTACACACGGGAACGCTAAGCACAAGACAACTGGATCTAGATTAAGGAAAGGAACTTATTTGTAAGTCGTTGTCTGTGACTGGTTTTTTTTTATAGTTCTTCGTGTGCTACATAGATGTTACGACAACGATGACAGTGATATTCTGCTTCATCATGAAACTATAATCCTCGATACTGTTGGAAGTGGTTTCCTTGTCGTAAACGTTTAAAAATTTTTATGAAGATATTACGATGTTGAAGTAGCACTGAAATAGAATCATTGAGCGAAGTGTTCATAATTCCATAGTAAAAGACATCGTGGGGGAAAATTTTATAATAAGACGTGTAATGGAGTTTTCCTCCGGACATGGTTGTATTAAACATCTATGGCGACAAGGGCGTTCAAATCTGTTACATCAAAATTTTTATTTTATCTCAGTTCCTTTTAGAAAATATGATTTGTTGTAAGTCCATTAAGCAAATTATATTTTTATTTCAACAGAATTGAATAAGTTTGAAATATTTCTTTTTATAATATGTATACAGATAAAATATAAATATAATTGAAGCTAGTAAACGTATATGTTCAAAATTTGTGTATATGATTAAATGTATAACAGAGTATTAAATTGTACAAGAAAAAAGTGAAAAAGAATAACTTTCGATTGTTAATTGTTAACAGCAAATGGAAAAATGATATCGATTTGGAAATTTTGGGATAAACTCCGATGAACTGTACCTTAATGCTGTATGAGATTTTTATATAATACGCTTTTACATGTGTTACAATTATAAAATTATAATAATATATTCCGCCTTTCAAATGGCACATACAAATATGCATTTCTGTATATTTTGTTATGTAGCAAATTCAATTTTGAGTGAAGAATCGTCAATTTCTTTATATAATTGGAATTGTAAAAAAATGTAAAAATGTAATATCTTAATTTTATGATTATGCATATTACATTAAATTATTGCTTATGTTTATAAGGTTTAGTTAGTCGAGTACATGAATTAACATATTTCGGTATTTTACAGAAAAATAGTAAGAGAAAAATTAGAAACTTTTTATGAATATATATGTGTTGCACACAAATTATATTTACTGATAAAAACATCACAAATTATCATTTTTTTAATGATAGAATTACGTTTCAGTATAATGTACATCACAATATTTTTACTTTGCTTTCCAATGAAATCAACAGTAATGTTTAACAAACGAGATCTGAATTTTAATGTACAGTTATTATCCGGCAATGCTTGTGTGCTATTTAATTCCACACTTGTAAATATATGTAAAGATATTATAATAGAGTGCATCTTGTAATATAGATGTTAAGATATTATATGATGATTACATGAAAATTTCAGATTTAAATTTAATAGTTTATCTGATGCTAGTATATTGCCATTTCGGAATAAGAACTGTTTCATTTTAGGAAGATTATAAAAAATATATATATATATAGACAAGTAGAACAGAAAACAGAATAATATACAAATTCGAAAAACATTCATACTTTTGCAGAAATGTCCTGAAACCGTTTAAAATTAAATTCGATTGCGCACAATTTCAAAAATGTTACTTATGTATGTTATACTAAGAAATAAATTCCGTTTAAAGAAAAAGTTTTAACATCCATTTCTTAATCAATTTTTCGAGAATTAAATTAAATTCACGCAATTTAAAAGAATTGACCAATCGTATTGATCAACTATTGGCTGAATTGTTAAAAAATGTGACTTGTTAATTATTTTTTCGTCAAAGATCTGGGAACAATTTCGTGATTTCTAGCATCGTAGACTTATGATTTTAGAGAGAAAGAGACGAAAAAAGAGATTGGGGGAGGGGAAGAACTCTTGAAACTTTTTAAAACATACGAAAACACCTAAGAGAGAGAGAGAGAGAGAGAGACTGAGGGAAAGACGGTAAATAGAACGATTCATTCTCCCCATGGAACAAAATCGTTAGGTTCAGGTAAAAAAAAAGGCAAAAAGGTAAGAGGATGATATCAGCACCTTAGAAAGGGATAATTACCAATTTAGTGAAAAAAAGAAACCCGTCGAGCCTTTTGGATAAGCGCGACCGCATTATAATAGCCGTCTCGGTATCTCCACTTACAATTAGGCCCGATTCCACAAATGTAAAATCAATTTTTAATCTCGGTTCAACTTAAACTGTTATCTCCTAATTCTTACAGATTAGAAAAAGATAAGATAAACCTGAACTTCGGTTAAAATCGAGTTAACCGCGAATTGTGAAACCGGGCCTTAAATGCCTTAATAGAAAATACCGAGACGCGCGCACGAAGAATTTAAGGATCAGAGCGGAGCATGAAAAGCGATATACGCTCCGAGTGTTACAATACCCGATTGTCTGTCGAATCCGCATCGATCCGTTATTATATCGACGTTCTTCAGCTTCCGACAAAATCGACATGAAAACAATCAAAATAAAAAGAAAATTGTAGAAACGGAGTATAATGTTACACAGCTGGTACTCCGCGTCCCGAAGAGTCGCGGGAACTCGCGACAGTTTCTCGGCGAATGAAAATCTCTCGGGCATACAGTACTTATAAATAATTAAGAGATTCTCGTTTTGAATATCTTTCGGATGGATTACGCTTCTCGCGACGAGGCTTGGATAAAGAGAATTCCGAAATGGATAAAGCGAAATCCGCTCGCGGCGGCGGCGACAGCAGCAGGATGAGTAGAACCGAGAGGACGCACGAGCGACGCGTTCAGCTTCTCCTGTGCGCCTCCTGCTCTCCTCTACCTGACCGAGAAAGATCTCGCGATTCGTTCGCGGTGACGCGACCGGAGCGCGCGCGCCGAACGAGAAACGCGAGAACGGGCCGCGGCGCGCCGCGGCGGCGAGTCGGGGCGAGCGAGCGAGCGAGCGCGTGCAATACATACGTATACACACGTAAATACATACACGTACCGTATACGTACGTGTACGTGCGTGGTGCGTGCATGCGTGCGTCTACGCGGACGGAACGAAACGGAACGAGACGAAACGGAACGGAACGGGAGGGAGAGAGAAAGAGAGTAGGCCGTTCGCGGGGGTCGGGAGGCGAGAAAGCGGAGAAAAGCACACACACACACAGACACGCGCACACACATACACGCACACGCTGTCATGGCGTTAACGTTAACGACGCGTGTCGAGCGTACTACGTGCCGTCGGCGACGCTGCCGCGAAGCGAGGTGCCGGTAATACACCGCCGCGGAGCAGCCCCCCCGGGTAACGTACGCGAGAACGACGGCGATCGACGTCGTCGGTTCGTCCGCACGGGGGAGAGAAAGAGTGAGTGAGTGAGAGAGCGAAGGAAGGGAGGAGAGAGAGGGAGAGAAAGAGAGAGAGAGCGCGAGCAGTGCGAGCGTTGTGTCAGCCGCTCGGCTTCAATTCAGCGCCGTCGTCGGCCCTTCGCCACCCTCGGCATCCCCTCAACCCCGCGGAACGAGGTAACGTGCTCGCGGGACGGTGCACGAGGTCGCGAACGGTTCCACGCTGTGGAACCTCTTCCACCGCCGCCGCCGTCAATCGCGAGAAACGAACGCGCCACCGCCGCCGCCGCCGCCGCCGCTGCTACCCGCTGCCGAGCGCGCGCAAGAGAGAGCGAGAGGACCGCTCCTCCCTCCGCCTCCCTCTCTCCTTTGTAGAGAGTGCGAGCGCGCTTAACCTAAAACCCTGCCTCGTCGGTTCGTCTCGTCGCCGTCTCCTCTGCGGCTCTCACCTCGCGCGGCAACCTCGCGCACCGTCGTCGCCCGGCCTGGGTAAGCGGCACGGCGAAAGCGGCACGCGGGCGGCGCGACCGCGACGTCCGCTGCCTCCTGGCATCGCGTCCCGTCGCGTCCCGTCGCGTCCCATCGCGTCCCATCGATCGGCTCGATCGCGAGCGCGGCGGACCACCGAGGAGCCACCAAGTCGCCGCGGAACTCGCGTCGCCCCCCTCGGCTCGCCGTTGCTCCCGTTGATCGCGCGATGCCGAACCGTCAGTCACCCCTCTCGCGCGCACCAGCGTTCGGCGTAAACGCGCGCGAATCTAGGCTGGCGGATACCCTCGGCGGACACCCCGAACGCAATCCGCTCTCGTGATCCTTTCCGCTTCCTCTCGTTTAGTCCGCGTCTTTCGATCTTTCCCTTCGGGTAAACGTAGAACTGTCTCTCTCTGTCCTCGTAAGATACTCTTTTTATTCCTTCTCTTTCTCCTCCGCGATTCGCTGACTGGCAGAGCAAATGATAATGATTGTGATCTTTGTGATTTTTGGAGCAGGAATGCCTGTCTGAGCGGACTGGGGATAAGGAAGTCCGCGGTGGACGATGCAGCAGCAGTCTGGAAGCCAGTGTCTTTAGTGATAGCTGTGCAGTTTACGGAGCCTGTGAAAGAAATAAGTGTATGGTGTGGCATTCCTTGTATATATTTTTCGCATCATCTGCCACCGCGACCGCGTGGACAGCTTCCCCTCCGTAAGGCCGTACCATCGCTTTCCACCGTGGAGTTTCGCTGTTGTTGTGTTGTTTCTGTGAAATCACGCCAGACTGGGAACGGTGGATGATATGTCATCGTAAGATGATCCGTGTCCAGTCGAGAACCAGCATCGAGCTTCATGGCGGAGAAATAGAACATGCTCGATGAGAAACATGCCTAAGTAGAGGAAACACATGTTCTGGGAATTGATGGGTATATGCTTTTCCTGCAGGAGACCCACCAGCGGCAGGTTGAACAGTAAAATCTCTGAGCATATCTCGGCCTCCGTAACTCCTCTCCATGTTTGTCTGGAGGAACAAAGAAGACCAGAACTGGGCTCATGTGACGCCTCACAAGCTCACAAGCCTCAGGTGAGGCCTGCGTTTTATATTTCTGATCCGCTGCGAATGCGCGTAGGCGCATGCTTTTAAAATGAATTGTTATTGAATTTACGACACTGACTCCGCTATTTTGTAACTTTGACGACAGGTTAAAAGAACCTTTGAGAATCAAAAGGCAGAAGAAGAGACTCCCGAGGAGGTGGCGGAAGGCGATTCGATCGAAGTCGAGGCAGGAGAGTTAAGACACAGCCAGCCGAGTATGGCCAATACTATCAGCAACATGAAGATGACTAATCCCATAAAGGGACTGGTTAGCAAGCGCCGCAAACGTTTTACAGAAGACGGTTTTAATCTTGATCTCACATGTATCCTTGCCTAAATTATTTTGCGTATGCTAAACAAAAATTAAAAATAACTAGATATTAGAATACTATGCATTGTGCATGCTTCCTATTTACATTGTTAATGTAAATACAAAGTATGCAAAATATTCAGTATACGAAGAATGCATAATATTCTAATATAAATGAATCGACTGGATAAATTCCTTAGCGAACGTTATGACATTAGATATAAAAGCGAATTTAATAGCGATGGGTTTTCCTGCTGAGAAGCTGGAAGGAGTGTATAGAAATCATATTGATGACGTTGTTAAGCTGCTGGAATCGAAACATAAAGACCATTATAAGATTTATAACCTGTAAGTGAGAGGACTAGAGATTAACATTAAAATGTGATCCTTTTATGGCAAGTAACTTTAATGCAACGCCACGATAATGTTCTAGGTGTTCCGAGAGGTCGTACGATTGCAAAAAGTTCAAGCAGAGAGTGGCTACTTACGCGTTCGATGATCACAATCCACCAAAGCTGGAGCAGATTAAGCCTTTCTGCGAGGACGTGCAGTCGTGGCTGTCCCAAGATAAGGACAATGTGGCCGCAGTTCATTGCAAGGCGGGCAAAGGTCGAACGGGTGTAATGGTGTGCTGTTATTTACTTCACAGCAAACAATTTCCCACTGCCACGGAAGCCCTTAATTATTATGGAACTAAACGGACTCACGATAGGTAAATGCTGCAGAAGACTTCTGAGGATTTCGCGCATAATGTTGTCTCGGTCGAGAATTATCTTATTTATTCGATCCTTTATTATAATCCAGGAAAGGCGTAACGATACCATCGCAGAGAAGATATGTGGATTATTATGCTACCCTCCTCCAAGAAGGTGTCAGTTACGAACCAGTGACATTATTATTGCGTAAAATACAACTGGATCCGGTCCCTATTTTAAACGGAGGTCAAGGTTGTAAGTAATTTGTAATACAAGCTATATTGATTACTAATCTCGATATTTATATTATTTCATTAATTTTTATGTATGCTAAAAATAAAACGTGTCTTTCTTCAACTCCGTAATATTTTTCTCTGTGCGATTTTTATTCGCACATTATTGTAATAATAGTCTTTTCTAATCGTTTATAATCGTGATAGCTTATGTAAAATACGTTTTCTGTACGTCATGTTTTTAGATCTGCATTTTGTAATCACGGAATCAAACAAGAGGATATTTGCTGATGATTACGAGGTTCGGAAAGGTACATCTTCTATATGTATCCCATTGCAACACACTGTCGCTCTGACGGGAGATATACGGGTGGAGTTCTACAACTACAAGCCAAAAATGAAACGGAAGGTACGTGTCCGTGCAACGTGTTTGTATCAATTTATTCGGCATGGTGAATTAATGAGCCGCGTTTTCACTGTATTTTCCAGGAGAAGATGTTTCATTTTTGGTTCAACACATTTTTCGTCCGTGAGAAAACGAATTCAGAGTGCGACAATGGCGAGTTACATGTTGAAAGATCGGCGAGGGCATTTAGCTGCGACGGCACAGCCATGGAATTGCCGATGGTTATGTCGCACGTGAAACCTAGAGCTGGATCGTTGGCGAGCCTCGGTCCTATGCCGCCCACTCTCGTTTTACGGATAGACAAGTCGGGATTGGACAACGCGCATAAGGATAAAAATCATAAGCTATATAGTCCAGATTTTAAAGTTAGTTTTTTTCGTATTCATAAAATGTAATTTTAAAAGAAACATAACAGAACGTATAGCTGATGTCTTATAGTATTAAAGTATCCGACATTATAGGTATTTTGTTAATTACAGCTAGAATTGCTGAAAGTAAATATGCAGCGTGTACAATCAGTGTCTCAATTCCACATACTTAGCATTAAACGCTCTGTTAGCGAAGTTTCGAATTAAAGCAATCAAATATCACAGTCTACTTTAAATTCGAATAGTAAAATCTTATCAAGCGCGCGAGAGACAATGTCCGATTATTCGCGATTTCTCTCTTTAATTGCAGGTGAGTCTATTTATGCATAGCGTGGGCGGGAACATAACGCCAGCTGTGCCAGCGACGGCGAACAGAGGTGGCGACGGTGTGCAGCTGGGGATGGGCGGGCAGGAGACGCCGAGCGAGTCGAGCGAGGGGGACAGCAGCGAGTGCGACACTACCGGCGACGAGGACGGTTGGGAATCCGGTGAGTCCTCTGCATCCCTGGTGGTGAACCACCAACACCACCACCCTCTTACACACAGCAGTAGCCGTACACACGTTAGCAGTCTCCGTCCGCGATGCAGTCTCAAGGAGACCGCCAAGGGTCTGCTGTCGCGCGGCGACAAGAACCGAAACAGTAACAGGCAGGGCGGCGCGAGCGCGAAACGTTCCTCCGCACCACCGTTCGCGCGCTCGGCCACTCTCGACACGTAGTAGCTTAAAATGAATTTGCTTTCGGTACTTAAGAAAACGGCCGGCGGTGTTTCGTAAAACCGTGAACGCGTTTCGCGCTTTCACCAAAATCGCGCGTCTCGCGAGGTCGCGACGTGCGCGTCCTGCTTTTCTTTCGATTCTTTTTTTTTTCCTCCGCGGACGCGCATCGGACGGCTCGGTACGCGTAAAGCGACGACTAGGAATCCGGAGAAAACCGTGGTACAATATTTCTGCAGTAACCTCCGCTCGTTACGTTTCTCTTTCTCTTTTTGCACGGTCGTTTCGTTTTTCACTCTCTCTCTCTCTCTCTCTCTCTCTCTTTCTTTTCCTTTCTCTCTTTCTCTTTATTTTTCTTTGTCATGTCGTGGGACCATGAGATTTATTTTTTTTTTCTGTATTGACGATCCTTACCGATTATAATACTATTAACTGTTGGTCGATTCTCTGTATAATGCTCGATAGCGAAGTAGTTGTGAATGTGCACCAAGTATTGTCGAGTAAATCGTTTGAGTAAATTGATTGGTTCGCCACGTAGAAGCCGAGAGATTTAGCACCGATATAATATGATTTTAAACAAGGAGATGCACATTCGAAACATTTACGACAATGGTCCGATCTTACGTTACTTCAACATGATAAAGCTCTAACGCGATCTGCAAAGGACGCATATATTTTGCTTCCGTTCGCGTCATGTTTTTCTGACGTTTTTCGTGCCGTTGAAACGATTGCAAATGGGATGGGCGTTTTACCTGTTAAAAGACTCTTAAAATAGCATAGGACAAAATTACCATGAGTAAGGAAAACCGAAGTGAATTGGTATCAACAGTGATTTGTAATTCAAATATAGGTAGTTCAATTTAAAAAAAAAAAAATGTCAGCAACCGTTCGGCAGAGCTTTCTCTTCCAGTTTTCTTTCAAACAAAAGAAATTATTCTAACTCGCTGTATTATCTTAAAAATGAGGAAAATTAATATAGATCACCCGCACAAATCGAATTTTAATATTCTGCAATTTAAAATGTGTCTATATGTGAAATTTACGCTATTTGAATAAAGCAGATTTTATTTTATTTTTTTAACAGTCTGTATACTTTTATCGAAATCGCGCGTATATTTGCATATACATCGATTTTCTCCGTCCAACGTGACTTTCGGATAAACCAACGATATCGCAGAATGTGCAATATTAGTGCCTATAATGCCGCGGTGATGTGTTTTAAAAAAATAAGAACAGCGTAATTTTGTTTCTATTTTTAACGCGTCAAAATCACGAAGTACCTTAGCACTTGTATTGATTACACTTTTTTTTTTTGTTTTTTTCTTTTATATTTCTGTTTAATGTGTTCGTTTCAAACGAAAGCGGAAATATGTATGATTTAACGAATTTAATCGACCATGTTTTTTTTTCTGTTTAGATAAAGCTTGAAATTTCATTCATACCTCTCTTTCGTAAACTAATTGTAAAAAAAAAAAGGAAAATTAGAATAACTCCGTGAGCACGTTAGAATCGACTTACGCAGTGAACAGTCGCGAGTTTACGCAGTGTTTTTTCGCAAGTGATGATCGTGATATACGTTGGAAAGGAAGAGGAAGAACACAGAATACGCGCGGTCAGGCAGCGCGATATATATTAGCAATTTTTCGGCATTTTCTAAGAAATAATTTTGAGCTCGCGTTTCCATGCACATCTCACTTCGCGTCGAAGCACTCTACTTTCGTGCGAGAATAATGTTGCCCGTTCATCATTTCGTCTTGTTGATTTATAACTACACGATACACATACACGTACATACATGCATCTACATACACGCGCGTTGTAAAACACATACATATATAAATGCATGCGTGCATGCATGCATACGTACATACATATATGTATGTATTTGTATGTATATATGTCTGTATATATGTATATGTACAAGGAGAGAAGATAGATATATGACGACATCGAGAGATCGCTTACATAGAAAGGTTTACAAGTGTAACTATTAATACATTTGATTAATGTGACGGAAAATGCGTCGGGTTTGGCGTGTAAGTCTGAATGACGGTTTATTCCACCAAAGTAATCGTAGTACAACTCCGAAACAATTTATTTTCCGTTTTTTGGGGGGGGGGCGGGGGAGGGGGGGAGAGGGGCGGATGTGCGATTATAAACGAGACGTCAAACCAAGGGAGAAGCGAGGAAGCGGTAAGAGAGAACGACGGTAAAATGCAGTTTTAAGAAGCGGTGTTAAAACTGATATTTTACCGAGAGTTGTTTCCGGGATTTCTTTCGAGAGCGCCACACGGGGCTCACGCAGAGGCGTAACGCGAGGGAAAACCTTCGTTTATCCGTTTATCGACGACGTCGGAAGTACAAATACGTAGAAATCAGCCTTTATATACGTCGTGGGATTAAAATAAGCCGCGGGTGCCGCTGATTGTTAGTTAACGGATTTTTGTACTCGGTTCGTAATAATGACTCTTTCGGATAATTAACGAGAACTCGGACTTTAGATGAGGAATTGAACGGGAGGCGGCGTGAAAAGGAGAGAAGAAGGAAAATCTGAATGTAGGTTTAAAATCTTTCTGTCGGTTATTGCTTTTTATTACATATAGAGAGAAAGAGAGGGTTACGCGTTCTTAGATTAAGATACGTACGTGACTATCGTTGCGTAGAATGTATGTGTAAAATATAAAGAAACATAAATTATTAGATAAATTATTAGACGGTTAAATACACACACACACACACAAATACAAAATACATACATAAAATACACAACTGGCTTCGGGGTTGAACATGTAGTTATTACGTAATTAACTGATCGAGAACTACGATTCTTTTTTCATTATATTAACTAGGCGAAATTATTATAGATATTGATAATTGTAATTCGATCAGAGCGCGGTAGCACGCTATAGCATTATTAGTATTACGTTGTCGGACTATTCTTTTTTTTTCTACAAGGTTATAGACTTGTGATACGGTAAAGTTATAACCGCGCATTTTTCTCTTCGCACGGAATTGGACTTTAACGATACTTGAGATACATCTTATTATAAGTCTTAAAGGAAATGAAAAAAGAGTGAGAAAGATTTTTCACGATTTTAATAAGACGATTATTTCTAACGTTAGTATAAAAAAAAAAAGAACGGAACGCGCTCTATACGTTCCGCCATGTCTCTGAATGCGTAGTAAACAGAATTATATTTATTACATAATATTACATATAAAATTGTTAGTTTAAATACGACTAAGTTAAACAACGCGATAAAGAGTTTCACGGGCGGGTTTTTTTTCTTTCGCTCGTGAAAAAGAAGAGAATAGGTGAATTAGTTCGTCGAACGGCCAGGAATTCGCGAGATACAATCGCGAGCAAATTTTTCGGAGACGTGTATTCCCCCCACGCTCCCCGAAGCTAGAATTAAGTGTTCATCGCACAATTTTGTAAATACGTAGCCGATTAATTAACATCGATGTATTCTCGTAAGAACTAATTCTAACAGATTAATTCGGTGTAGTACACCGAGTGCACTAGACTTGGCAGTTTATCTCCTGTCTATGGTTTCTTTGATTGTCATTAATTCAGAGTAACTAGTAATATTCGATTTTTCATCAAAGACAAGAAAGATGGAAATCTTTTTTTTTTTTTTTTTCGAGAATCAAAGGCGTAAACTTTATTTATTATTTATTTTTTAAGTAGACTTTAACGTAACAGATTTGTAAGTTGGGGACCAGTTACAAATATATTTAGTATTGGAAATTGAAAACTTGCGCGACAAATAATGATCTCGATCATAATCTTGGCTTGTAAGGGAAAATTGACTTCAAATTGGTCGAAGAATCCGTAGGCATACATTTTACCCTAGGTCTGGAACACTCTCACGAGATCTATGTATATAAACGCGGAGACGGCTTTGATGAGTCCCTCTTTGATTTCTGTCAACACTTTTGTAGTTGTAGCATTGAGATTTGTACTTGGACTTTCTAAAAAGCATGGATGTCGAATGTATTATGACGTTGACGAAGGATCAATTCATTTCTCGTTTAATACCTTCTTTCGATACCTCGAATGAATAAAAACAAATACCGAAGCCCTGCTTTCTTTCTTCGTTTTTTTTTTATTTTATTTTATTATAAACTCCTTGTATATGAAACACAATTCTCGTTGCATGTAAATAATTTATACAATTGCGAACTACTTGAAGATATTGTTACAATGTTTGAGACATGTGTAAGATCTGTATAAGCAAGATACGTCTGTTTTAATTGTATAATAATTATTTTGTGATACTATTCGTATACTTATATTATCATTATTAGCCGTATCGTTGTTATATCATTATTATTAGTACTATTAACGTGTTATATTAGAAAACGCTACTGCTATTACACACACGTACACACACACACACACACGCACGCACACATACATGCATACACGTACACACGTATGTCGCTATTCTCCAATCAATCACGATTCACGAGAACGTCTTTACGATTATTACTTAACGTAATTGAGATGTTAACGATTTTTCAAAGTACTACTATGTTTACGAATGTACTACTATGTTTACGAATGTACTTCTGTAATTCGATACTTTTAAGGATAAGATTATATATATATGCATATATATATACATTATATACAAGTACGTAGTACTATACATTTTGTAACATTTTCTATTTGCAGCGCCTATTTCTGTAGAGAAACATACATGTTACTTTTTTCAATCCTATCTCCAATGTTTTTTCTTTACACTCTCAACCATTCTCTTTTTCTCT